CTGCATTTGCAGAGGACTCTGCCCTGGGAAGCTGCTTCGCCTGCTGGAGTCTGGGGACAAGGCCAGAGTAGGGACCCTCTGTCAAGGGGCTATGAACTGGTGGCCTAGTCCTACCTTGCAGAGTGGAAGTGGTGGTAGGAGAGTGGAGCAGGCCCCCACTGGTGCTAGTGTGACTTGTGCACCTGAGGGCAGTGGGAGTGAGGGGCTCCCCAGAGCTTTGTGCACAGGGATTGGGCGCTCAGTGGCTCTCAGAAGCCATGGCCAACTGTGGCCAGGGTATGTCCCAAGTCATCTTCACAGCCATGAAATGCACACCAAACCTAAGACTAAATTTAGATCCTTAAATTTTAATTTATAGCTCACAGACAGGTTGACTACATTTAAACTTACCACACCCCTAAAATAAAGGCTTCTCTACTTCTGTTTCGGCCCCATCATAAACAAGAAGGTCTTAAGTCTGCCACCTTGTTTGTGCAGGCATTTTGTGATTTTTGGAATCACAGGGCGAGCTGCTCACAGCCTCCTATGTCTCAAGTTCTGGTCCTCCACTCCATTTCCTGTTCCAAACAGCACGGGCAGCAGCTTCAGCCTTGGGCTACTCTGCCTGTCCCTCTTGCTACCTTGCCTACTGCTTTGGGCCCTGGAGACCAACTGTCCAGGCGAGGGCAGCAGCTCCCTGCAGCCTGGTTATCCCAGCCCCAGTATCTGAGGCCATGGCAGAGGGACATATGTGCCTTGGGAGATTCATGCCCGGTTTTAGCTTCAAGGACCGACCCTGGGGGCAGGCAGATGTTTTGGTGGCAGGGGCTAGTACCTGCTTCCCTGGCTCATAAGGAGCTTGTGGTCAACCAGGTTGTCAGAAGGAACTGCTTAGAATTCCCTTCCTGTCGTCTTATGTGTCTTGTTGGATGCTGCTTATAACCTGAGAAATTGAGGTGTTCTTGAAAAGGCATAGGCCTTGTCCTGGGCTGACCATGGGCTTCGGGGCTCTCTGTAGCAGGCTGATCAGGGTGAGCTGTCCCTTTCCAGCTTCCAGAGGGAGACCCAAGATCTATTTGCTGTTCTCTGCTATTCAGCAGAGAGTAGGTAATGGTCCTGGCAACTGATTTGTGACCGTTTCTTTCTATGAACAGAATTCTGAAACGGGTTGAGAGCTGAGGTCTCTATTAGCATCCTTAGAACAGGCTGTCTCCCAGGAGGGAGGCTTCACAGCTGGAGTTCTGTTTTTAATGATTTCTAAATTGAGAAGAGCGGTAAATATGGTACACTTCTTCTGGGCGAAATGAAGTTTATAATTCATTCAGCCACTCTTTTGAATGCTATGTGTTGTTTTCTGAGCAAAGCAGATAGATACACAGCCATCTCAGGACCAGATTCAGTTGTTCTCAAAGTGCTATTTTTCCTTTTGGTAATGAGGATTAAACCCGGGGTGCTCTGTCACTGAGCTACATCCACAATTTTGAGAGGGCCTCACTGATTTGCTGTGCCTGGTCTTCAGCTTCAATCCTGCTGCCTTAGCCTCCTGAGCCCTGGGATCCCAGGCGTGTGCCACCGTGCCCCGCCCTGAAAGTGTTCTAAAGTACAAGTAATTGTTCACACTGTTATGAGCACATAACTATTCTGATGTTCACAAATGCTACAAAACTAAAGAGAAAATACCGAGTACTGAAGGTTTGATTTGAGAGTAAAACATGAAACCAGGCCTCTCTCTGTGAGGAGCATTAAGAAGGCTGCTTTCCTCACCAGGCGTGGGAAAGGTGCGTAAAGAGGAGTCTGTTCTCGGCTTTCATCCATCTGGCTGTTGAAYGGCCAGAACTACTTTTTAACTCTTAGGTTTTGTAATGCTTGGCTCGTGATAAAGTGACTTTTTCAGCATTCGTTCCCGCCACTGGGGCCTGGGGAATATCACTCAGGCGTTCCACATAATGGCTTTTCCATCTTCCAATCCTTCATCCATCTTGTCTGATGTGGCTCAGGGTGCTGGCCTGTGTCCCATAGGTAATTACTTTGTGGAAGCTCACATGCTAGTGTAGACAGTTGGTGCAGACAGGATGCACACAAACACTGACTGGGTGCTTTTTGTGAGCTGGGATAAGAGAACTTGGAGGGTCCGTGTATTCTGAAATTGCTTTTTTACTTGCAGTTCTGATCAGAGGCCTGTCATCCCCTCGTCGAGGTCCAGGCTCGCCTTCTCCGTGTCTGTGCTGGACCTTGACCTCAAGCCCTATGAGAGCATTCCTCATCAGTATAAATTGGACAGCAAGATAGTCAACTATTACTCAAAGACTGTGCATGCCAAAGATGACGCTGTGGTGCCGACTCGGTTGAAGGAAAGTGAAGACTGCATGTTAGTTCTCCATAAGGTCTAACTTTTTTCCCTGCAGTGTCTTTGAAACTTGAATGTGAAAGTTGAATGATAGCTATTTTCTATTGTGTTGGACAACTTCTGGCTGTGAATGTTTTTGCTTTTAACCCTGTTGAGGTGAGACTGCCTCTTGAAGACATAAAATTAAAGAGCACTAGAAACATCTTCCAGGACAAGGAATGTAGGATGTGAACGGGGTGTCCCAGGAGGCTGCTCATATTCTTAAATCGGAAGTGTCCGTTAAGCCCTAGGAAGACGTCCTGGGTAGTTCTTCCTTCAACCAGGGCTCATGTCTAATTCTCTATGCGAAAAGCCTTATAAGACCAAGGTTTGGATCTCCTACCACCAGAATCCTGACGTAGAAAGCTTGAATTGTCACAAGCATCTTATGGTTTGGACTTTTGGAAAACATAGATACCACTGGAACTTTCCCGGTTGTTACTGGTCACTTTTTCAATTTGAGCCACACATCAACACAGGCTTTTTGGGTGGTTCCCTGCTGCAGAGAGTGATCAGAGTTAGTGTGGACGTCGGTTCTGAGTGGTCTAGACTCAGGGTCCCTGTGGAGGTGCCGAAGCTCACGGCTCTTAAGGGTCAGCAGGGAGTGAGAGACTCAGGTCAGGATGGACACCACTCACAAGAGCATTGACTTTTTGTTTTTGCTTTATGATTTTAACTCTAGGGGGAGATAAAGTGTTCTTTCCTACCTGAAATCGCTACTGTGGAAGCTGGGAGCACAGCTGTAACTCACTAGGCCGCCGTGGCTGGCTGGGGTGGGCACGCCCGGTGTCCCAGCATTCTGGTTCTGGTAGCACTCCGTCGTGTCGGGTGGTCGAGGGACTTCCCAAGCTGCACTCCTCCCCTCGGTTTGCCTGGGGGCTTTTTGGGGTGTGGGCCCCAGAGCCTTGCCATTCCTGTTGGGCTGCCACGGGCCCTGCTTCTGGAAGATGCGTGGCTCCTAGCTGGTGCCAAGGGTTCTTGTTGGGATCACCAGAAGTGTGCCCGGCTGCTATAAAATTGCTGGGACTCTTGGCTCCCCTTCCCCATGGCAGGTTGTACAGACTGATTATTTATATAATTTTGAGGGACTAATGAAGGCTTATTGTAACATAATATTAGTGAAACCATGGAATTGTATGAAAATGCTACATGAAAAATGAAAATATTTTGCTGATTGTAAAATTTTTGTGGGAAATTTTGTGATAACTTGAGAATTACACTTGTTTGAATCAAGCCAACTCTTCTAGAATTGATTCTTGAATTCTGTCCTTACATTTGCTTTATTCTATACTTGGGCACAAAAAGATAGTCATGTGTGTGGACACACTGGCCCCCTTTCCTTCAGCTTGCGTGGTATGTGTGCTAGGGTGGGGCTTTGGAGGTCCACCCCAGTCACGTCCACAAAGCTCAGCTCGAGGCTGTGGAGGGTGGGAAGTGGCCATTAGCACTGTTTGGATTCAGGATGGTTTGTTGCTGCGGGCCTGGGCGGCACTTGGGACACGTTTCTGCACAATATGGTTGCACTGTGTCGTGGGCTGTGCCATGCTCTTGGAGGTAGCATCCCTCTGCCAGAACCCCAGGCTCTCGGGGAGGTGGGCTGGGGAGTAGTGTTACAGCCTGGCAAGGGGCCTCATCCAGCTGGATGGGCGGAATGAAAACAAGCAGGCTGTATTCTCATAGGAGGGAGGAGGGAGCGCCCCAGCCTAGGTCTGGCAGGTGGTGCTGAGGCTGGTCTCCAGCCCTGCCACGTCCCCGCTGCTGTGCTCAGACTCCAGGATGCCCCAATGGCGTGAAAACCCTCACTGACCCTGACATACGGGTGATGGAGGGGCTCCCAGCTCTAGTTCTCATCTGAGATTATGGTGTAGCACTCAGACCCTCTGGGGTTCTCTAGTGAAGGTCCTGTGAGAAGGGAGCAGTGCTGGGTGGCTGTCATCTGGCACTGTTTTGACGTTAACAGCCACGCAGACTGTGGGGAGACCAAGAGGGTCAGGACTTAGAGGTGCTGCTGTGCAGCCAGCAGGGCAGGCGTGGCAGCTCTGGCTTCTGAGGAATGTTAAGAAATGAAGCTCCATCAACAACTGCCTCCAAGAGCCCCCAGGTGGCAGGAGGTGGATGGCTTCTCAGGGCTGGACCACGCGTGGCTCCGTCTCTGGGCAGACTGAGGTGAGGTGGGGGCCCAAGCTGGTCCACACACGACAAGGGAGGGAGAACCACTCTTGGTATGTCTTCTCAAATGTTCAATTCTCTTTGACATTTTATACATGAACAGCTGTATTTTTCACGCCATGAGAGTCTGATGTAGYATAACTGCATAGACAGCTTGTTTTGGGCAGTGATGGGGCCTTAACCCAGGGCTTCATGCATGCCAGGCAATCGTTTTACCACTGAGCGACGTGCCCAGCATTGGTTTATTCTTTGGAGACAGGGTCTACATTGCTGAGGCTGGCCTCAAACTTGATCCTTCTGCCTCCCAAGTAGCTGGGATGGTAGGCAGGTGTCAAATGCATCCAGCTAAGGGTGTGGTTTCTGAGGGGAAGGTAGATAGTACACTTAGAAGGTAGATAGTACACTTAGAGTCAATATAGGTCGCACGCTTTTCGGTGCACCATCTTGTTCCTTCCCTGTGTGGGAACTAGTCATTCTCTGCACAAAGTAATTTTATCAGGCTTTCTAGAGCGGCTTCAATTCCAAGCACTTCTAGCAGGGTTCGGAAGCTCTGAGGAGCGGTTTCTAGGACTCTGTTCTTGTCCAGCTCCAGAGCTATAAAGAAAAAAATAAACCAGGTAAGAAACCTTGAGATGTTGGCGTCCAAGACCCCTCCTCCTCCTGAAGGATCACATGGACCTGGAGGCACTAGACCTGGAGCAGAGAGATGTGATCTCACCCATGGCTTGAGGCAGAGAACATTCTCTCCTGCCTTCGGCCGGCAGGGCTGTGAGGGAGCGATCACTCTTGTGCTTTTTGGTTTTTAAATGTTCTTATTAGTAATTACTCAATGTACAAAGTACACTAAGCCAGATGAACAACACCTAGCTTTGACTGAGAAGTCCCCTAGAAAGGACATCCGTACCCAGAGCCCTACCTCGCTGAGGGACTTTGGTGAGCAGGTCCAGCTTTGGTGAAACCTTCCCTTCTTCATCTATCTGTATTCTCCAAACAATCACCAGTTCAAACCTGAAAGAGGTAAAACACATTGGCCAGTGCTTTTGAAATCTGGTTTTTAGCTCCTTTTCTCTATTCTGGCTTCCTTGCTCTTAAAGACATCCACCCCAGAGGAGGGAAAAGGTGGTCAAGGGGAACCAGGACCACACTGGCAAGAATTGGATGTGGATAGGACGCAGAGCGACAGGAACTTGCACATGGCCGGTGCCGGTGCAGAGGGTCATCTTCCTTGGAAATACTCTGGCACTGACAAAGCCGTGTGTGCCTCTACTCCACGGCTGGAGAATTTCGTGCCTCAATGTCTGAGCCCAAGAGAAGCCTATGTGGTGTGGGCTGGGAAAAACRGACAGGGACCAAGACCCTAAACGCTCGAGAGCTGAGGCAGCCAGGCGTTTTGGTGGACTGACCTACCGGAGGGTTAGGAGTAAAAATGAACGCACTGTGGTCATGGGTCAGAGGCAGAAGGACGCCTGCAGAAGACCACCTGTTTGAAGGCTTGAAGAGGCGCGCACAAGGAGATGCACAGGGGCAGAGGCAGGAGGCTGAGGAACACGGGTAGGGCAGTGGCTCTGGGCAGAGTGTGGCCAGTGAAGGGAGGTGGCCGTGTGAGGAGCCCTGAAGCGGTTTCTCTGACTTGGCCTCAGGGGCTTCCTCACCCCAGCCTCCGTCCTTCCATTTGTGCAGTGGTTCCACACATACCTCACCTCCTCCTCCTCCCAGCGCCCCCTACATTTGCTCCTTAAAACCCCTCAGTGGAACTGAGGCCCAGGCCAGCAGGCACTTGTCTGCGTTTCCTGTGGTGGTATGTTCACAGGGTGCAGGACGGCCTGCCCACTTCTCCTCCACCCGACGGTCTCTGGTCCTCAGGGGCTAGTTTCCCTTCTATTGAGAATCCCTGTTTCACAGGGACTCGAGGCCGCAGCGGCCCGCACTCACCCTGGCCTCCTGGCGCTGCGGATCTCCATGCAGCTGGAGCAGGACCCCTCCGGGAGGTGCACAGTGTCGGGGTACTTCTCCTGGTGGAAGAAGTGGTTACACAGATCCGTGAGGGAGGAGGAAGAGGCCCTGAGCTGGGGTTCTGGGGACTGGTTGGGAGTCAGGGAGAACCCCACTTGGAGTTGAGAGCCCTGTGCCAGGGCCGAGTGCACGGCCCCACTCCTTCATCCTGCCTCACCTGTTGTCACACAGGCCCACCCCTTTCGAGGTCTCTCCAATGCCAGGCAGCCTCCACATTCCCGTGACCTGTCACCTCCCCTGTTTCCTCATCTCATATGACCACTGTACAACTCTGATTTTACCGCCTGCTGCCCACTTGACCCTGGTCTCAGGCCCCCCAGGTTGCAGGCCCCCTTGCTCAGGTCTGCTAACCTGGCCCTGAGCTGTGAAGACTGTTCTCAGAGCTCTGGCATCTGCCACCAAGCCTTTCACTCTGAGCCTCTGAGGGTGGTGACTGCCACACTGCCACAGCAGATGCTTCTGGACTGTGCATCCTCCCAGCTCCCCCCAACAGCCCCTGGGATTCCCCCTGACGCCCACTGCACCAAGRGGAAGGCTCCATGGTGAGCTGCACCCCACTCTGCAGCCACTGTAGGGGACAGGGCGCACTTTCCCCGTGTCTAGGCTCGCCACTCCAGGGCAGGTAGGGCTCCCCCACATGCTGTGATGCCTCTGGACACGTTATTCATAGCAGGACCTGGGAGCCTCCTGCCTACCAGAACCGCCACGTCTGTCATGACAGTTGAGCTTGCTTTACAGGCATCTTCACAGCCAGGAAGCAAGAACCCATCTGCTCAGTTCCCACAGACTTCCATCTGCTCTTTTTTTTTTTTTTTTTTTTTTTTTTAAAGAGAGAGTAAGAGAGGAGAGAGAGAATTTTTAATATTTATTTTTTAGTTCTCGGCAGACACAACATCTTTGTTGGTACGTGGTGCTGAGGATCGAACCTGGGTCGCACGCATGCCAGGCGAGCGCGCTACTGCTTGAGCCACATCCCCAGCCCTTCCATCTGCTCTTACGAGTCATGTTGTAGGGTTCGGGGTCATATGCCAACGACTCTAGGTTGGTTCATCATGAGATTTCAAGGTTCTCTTTTCTGTGTGTCCTGCCACCRTGCCTGATACAGAAACGGCCACCTAGGGATGGCTCAAGTCTGATGCAGGCCCCACTCTGGCCTCCACAAGCCTTGTGAAGGACAGTGAGGCACACCTGAGAAGCGTGGTCTGCCAGTCAGTCCCACGAGAAAAGGGGGCAGGCTGGGACCCGGCTGGCACAGCTTCCTGGGAGGCAGATACTTGCTGGATTGAACAGCTTAGCTCCCTCAAGTGAGGTTGTGTGGGGACAAAGATGCGTCACAAATTTTAAAGGAACCAGCTCCCTGTAAGAACTGCTGCCAGCACCCTGTGCATTAAGCCGCCAGAAAGCAAGAACGCATCCAGACCCTAAAGCATCCAGACCCTAAAGTGGGTGGGCCTAGGGTCCGCTTACAGATAATGACTGATTTCAGCAGAACAGTTGTTAGGAGAAAATGTATACCTAAGTGACTTAAGCGGAAAGTGCTGGTTGATTTTTAAACCTCAAGCTCTTCTAAATTAATAACAACTGTTTGAGGAACATAAAGGAGAGTGTGTGGACGTGGCAGTTCAGCTTCCAGGCTGTGCTTGGCAGCAGCACGTGGGGGCTCCGGGGACGACAGGGGCTTGGGCTGGCTCCAGCATGGGGCCACGGCGCAGCCTCCAAGCCAGAGGGAGCAAATCTTTGCCTCCCCAGGCTTTTCTTCTTTGGGAGCAAAAAGAGTTTAGGTGTTTTCACTAAATATACTCCTTTTAGTTTTTACAATAAAGACAAAAGTAGAACTGCTGAATCGGGGAAGGCCAGGCGTCAGCATGTCCTGGGGAACTCAGGATTGTGTGGAAAGCGTCCTTCTGTGTAACTTAATTATCTGCTCCTGTCCAGCTTCACTCCCTTGTCTGGTCACCTCAACTGCAGAGCACAGCTGGAATCAGAAGGAAGGAATTAAAGGCTGACAGAAGGGCCAGAGAGCCAAGCCCAAGAATAGCAGCCTTATGACAGTCACTGCAGTGCTGTGAAGGCCAGCTCACCTGAGCAGATGCACAGGTGACTTTGAGGGAGAAATGATCTCACTAAACACAAGATGGGCTTGAGGTCACTGGCTTAGGATCAGCCAAGATTAACAGTGATGGAGAGTTTCAGATACTACTATATCTGACACATTGATCAAAGATGATCAAATGGGCAAGAAGGAGGTAAGATGGACAGCTACTGATAAGGTGGAGATATGTTCAATATATATAGAATAATTTACATGAAGATACACACAAGCCAGGCACGTGGTGCATGCCTGTGACCAGTGGCTTGGGAAGCTGAGGCAGGAGGATCGCGAGTTCAAAGCCAGCCTCAGCAGCTTAGCAAGACTCTGTCTCAAAATTTTAAAAAAAAGGAGCGGGGGATGTGGCTCAGTGGTTAAGGTCCCCTGGGTTAAATCCCTAGCACCAAAGAAAAGTACACACAAGGTTAACTGGAAACCTATAATTGATCTGGAAAGCACCTCTGAGGCGTCAAATAGCCGCCAGGGAAGGGAAGCACCTGGCCAGCTCTCCAAGGACTCAGCCTTGGACCCAGGGCTCTTTGCAGAGAGCTGGAGTGATCTGCGCACCTCAAGGCTGTGGTGCCTGGAGGAGCCCCGCAGGAGGCTGTGTGCATCCACAGGTGCCTGGGGAAGGCTGTGCTGTGGAGGGGGCTGTCTGTTGGGAGGGGGCCTTGCTGGCTGGCGTTTCCTTCTGGGGCCCCAGCCTCCCTCAGGAAAACTCCACCTGAGGAACGTGCTCAGGCCGCAATCCAGATGGGTGTTTATCCAGCTGCTCGCCATATGGGGCAGTTTGCATTGGAGGCCTCTCCTGGTATTCATGATAGAAAAATGGTGGCAGTGGGAATGTGGCAATTGGATATCCACCCATTCCACACCTGATGCCCACTGTGCTGCTGCAGCCGCTGCTGGGCTGCGGGCTGCGAGTCCAGAGTGAGGACCGTTTTTAATGGCGCTCTGCAAAAAGCAGCCCCGGGTGGCGTCTCACCCCTAACTAGTGCAAGGCGAAGAAGAACGAGCACACCGCCTTCCACCCAAATAGAACTCTTGAAACGTGTGCACACTTCTTGTGTCCACGGGTGTCCATTCACTTAGATTTTACTGTTTTCCCAAAGATTATGTCTGACTGATTGAAAGAATAGAATTTTTAAAAATTGGGATATAATGCTTGTCAAGGCTGTGTGTGTTGGCACACGAGGCTAAAGAAGCACTATTGCAGGTTTGAGGACAGCCTCAGCAATTTAGTGAGACCCTGTCTCAAAATGAAATTTTAAAAAGGGCTGGGGGTGGAGCTCAATAGCAGAGGACCCCTGGGTTTAGGTCCCAGTACCGCGCACATGGTCACCCTACAGTGCACTCATTTAAAGTACACACCTCAGCGGGTTTTAGTGATGTACCAGCAGCACCAGTGTCCTTCCCTTCTCTTGGTTTTCCTATTCTAGATATTTTGTACAAGTGCAGGTGCACAGTGTGCAGGTTTTGTGACCAGGGCTTAGTGTCTTTTCAGGGCCCCTCCACGCACTAGCAGGGATTACATCATTCCTTCATATTGCCAAATAGCACTGCACTGGACAGGTACTGGCCACATTTTGTTTATCGGCTTATCAACTAACAGACATGGGTTGTTTTTAGTTTTTGGCCACTGGGAATAATAATGCTACAATCATTATGGGAACATAAGGTTTCTTTTCTCTTGGTTACACATCTAGGGGTGGAATCCCAAGCTGTTTCCCACTGTGGCTGTGCTATTTTTATAATTCCATTAGCAGCGTAAGTTACCTGTCAAATGTATGGTATTGAAGAATGTTCTCCTTTCTGTGTATTTTTTATGATCTTAATGGTATCATTTGAAGCACAAAGTTTTTAATTTTGAAGGAGTCCAATTTGTTTTATTTCATTTAATATTTTTGTGCGTGCTTTTGGTGTCACAGCTAAGACACTATTGCCTAATCTACAGTCATGAAGATTTATATCCGGTTAAGAATTTTATTTTTGGCTCTTATTAAGTCTTTGACCCAATTTTGAGTTGACTTTTGATTTCTGTGTGAAGTGGGAGCCCAGCTGTATTCTTCTGCCTGTGATCACATTGTTCTTGATCAGCACAGATTGCTGAGACTGTCCTTCCCCATTTAACTGTCTTGGCTGCACCCACGTTTTTCAAAACTTTCTATTTTGGAAGCTTGTGGGATCCACAGAAGCGAGTTCAGTGAGGTTACCCTGTGGGTGAAAAAGTTGCCTGGACTTCTCAGGGACTGGTGCGGGGACAAGTGGAAGAATGAACCCCACTGCCTACCTCACACCATGTATAAAAGTTTACCAATGGATATAAATGTTAGAGCTAAACAGAGACTTCTGAAAGAAACCACAGTAGGAAATCTTGGTAATCTTGGGTTACCCAAAGATTTGTCAGATACAAAATGAAAAGCAGTGACCATAAAAAGCAGCATAAATTGGCTAAATGTCAAATTGACTTCATCATAATTAGAACCCACCCCCCCAAAAAAATGGATCTCACTATGTTGCCCAGGCTGGCCTTAAACTCCTGGGCTCATGTGATTGCCTCACATCAGCCTCTCAAGTAGATGGGACTGCAAGCACATGCCTCCTAACCTGGCTCGTAATTAGACACTCCTAGAAGAAAAGAAAAAGGCTGGCCTCAAACTAACTGAAAATATTGGCAAAAACAGAATATGTAAAAATCACACCTCAGTAATAAGATAAACAACCCACTTTTAAATAACGGCAATGACATTAAGATGCTTAATCAAAGATGAGACATGGGCAGCGGAAGACGTGTGACTAGTAATTAGGGACACGCAAACCATCCACACGGAGGCCCCCAGCACGGCTAACGTCAGAAAGACCAACACCGAGTCTTGGTGAAGACGTGGCGCATCCGCATCCAGCGGACAT